CCCCACAGGTAGTCTGGCGTTACCTGCTCAACGTTTTCCCCGCCGGCCTCACGGGCCAGGAGCGCCTTTCCCACCTGCGCCTCAAGGCAGCCGAGTACTCGTCCCTCAAGGTGGCGCTGGCGGCTCGCGCGGCGCCGGCCGAGCTGGCCCAGGTGGCGGCCTCGGTGCGCAAGGACGTGGTGCGCACCGACCGCGCCCACCCGTACTTCGGCGGCCCCGAGGAGGGGCACCCTCACCTGGCCGCCCTGCAGGCCCTGCTCACCACCTTCGCCCTGGGCCACCCGCGCCTCTCCTACTGCCAGGGCATGTCGGACGTGGCGGCGCCGCTGCTGGCCGTGCTGGACGACGAGGCCCAGGCCTTCCTGTGCTTCTGCTCGCTCATGCGCCGCCTGGGCCCGCGCTTCCGGCCCGGTGGCCGCGGGCTGGCGCGAGCCTTCGGCCACCTGCGCCGCCTGCTGCGCCGCGCCGACCCCGCCTTCTGGGCCTTCCTGGCGGCGCGCGGCGCCCACGACCTCCTCTTCTGCTACCGCTGGCTGCTGCTCGAGCTCAAGCGCGAGTTCGCCTTCGAGGACGCCCTCAAGGTGCTGGAGATCACCTGGAGCTCGCTGCCACCTGCGCCCCCCCCGCCCCCCGAGGGCGTCCCCCTGCTCGGGGCCCCCCTCGGCGCTCGCAGGGCCGGGAAGGCCTTGAGGGAGCGCCGGGGCTTGAGGCCCAGGCTGCCCAGGAGGAGGAGGAGGAGGAAGGAGGAGGAGGAGGAAGGTGCTGACGGGTCTGGTGGTGGCCTCAGGGCTTGCAGTGACGGCCCCGGTGGTCCTGAGAGCTCCAGTGGTAGCCCGGGGGTTCCTAAGGATTCCAGCGATGGATCCGAGGGTCCCAAGACCCCCAGCGATGTCTTAGAGAGTCCCAAGAGCTCCAGCGACGTTCTAGAAGGTTCCAGGAGCTCCAGAGACGTCCCCAAAGGTCCCAGGAGCTCCAGGAAGGTCCCAAAGGTCCCCAAGGACGCTGGAGAAGCCCCCGAGGGCTCCAAGGACTCGGAGCCAGGTGGCCCCAGGAAGGTGGAGGAGGGAACGGACGCCCTGGAGATGGAGCAGAGACCCCGGAGCCTGTGCTGGGGGGACCCCAAAAAGGGGCAGGGGGACCCCAAAAAGGGGCAGGGGGACCCCGGAGAGGGACGTGAGCCAAGAGAAAGACGAGATGACCCCGAGGAGGGATTTGATGACCCCGAAAAAAGAGAAAACGACCCCAAAAAAGGACGAGATGACCCCAAGGAGGGACTCGATGATCCAGGAGAAGGACACAGCTTTGGAGAAGGCCATGACGACCCCAGAGATGACCACCAGGACCCCAGAGATGGCCACCGTGACCCCAGGGATGGCCACCGTGACCCCAGGGATGGCCACCACGACCCCAGGGATGGCCACCATGACCCCAGGGATGACCACCGTGACCCCAGGGATGGCCACCAGGACCCCAAGGAAGGGCGTGACGACCCCAGACGTGCCCACCACGAGCTCCACCCCCCACCCACCAACCCAAGCAGCCCCGAGGACCCTTGGGGCGGCCGCTGGGCTTGGGAAGACCCTTCCTCCTCCTCCTCCTCCTCCTCTTCCTCCTCCTCCTCCTCGGACGAGGACGAGCTGTCTCTGGAGGACGACGGGGCCCCGTTGCCCCCTCCGGAGGAGCTGGGCCAGGGGAACCCGTTCGTGCTGTTCGTGTGCCTGGCCATGCTGCTGGAGCAGCGCGACGCCGTCATGGCCCGCGCCGGCGACTACAACGAGGTGGCGATGCACTTCGACCGCCTGGTGCGCCGGCACCAGCCCGGCCGCGTCCTGCACCGCGCCAAGGCGCTCTTCGCCACCTACCTGGAGGGATGGGGGGCGCCCCAGGTGGGGCCGCAGGTGGGGCAGGGCTCGGGGTAAAGGGGGGGAGGGAAGGGGGGAGGGAGGGGGGGGCGCTGGGGGTGCACAGGACAAGGTGGGGGCACCGTGGAACAGCTCAGAGGGGTCCTGGGGTCACCTTGGGGACCCCAAAGTCACCGAGAATCTTCAGGACACTGCGGGGACACCTGGAATGTCCCCCCAAAGGCACCCCGGGGTCATCAGGGACCCCTCCCAGTATAAACCAGTCCAGCCCAGTGCCTCCCTGCTGGGTTCTGCACCACCGTGGGACGTCCCAGTACGAACCAGTACAAACCAGTATGAAGCAGTGCAACATCCTGGCTGGGATCTCCTGGATCTGCGTTTCCTTGGGCCACACCAGTATGAACCAGTATGAACCAGTATGAACCAATATGGATCTGGGAGCCCCACATCGCCTTGTGCTGGACCAGTTCAAACCATTATGGACCAGTATGGACCAGTCCAGCAGCCAAACTGGGAGCTCCTCACCGGCGTGGCCTTGCATCCTCCCAGTACAAACCAGTACAAACCCGTGTGAACCACTGGGAGCTCCCTGGATCTGCATTGCCTTGGGCCTGACCAGTACAAACCAGTACAAACCAGTCCAGAGCTCGCCCAGGATCTCCTCACCCTCGTGGCCTTGCGTCCTCCCAGTATGGACCAGTACAGACCAGTATGGACCGGTAGGGTGCCGCCACTGCTGTGTTGATGCCCCATAGGCCTTCTCCCAGTATGGACCAGTATAAACCAGTTCCTGCCCCCAGCCCTGGGTGCCTTCTCCCCTCCCCCCCCTTTATTTATTGCCCCTCCCCCCCCCCCACCCGGGGGGTCCCAGAGGGGCCGGAACTGCCAATAAAGGATGGCTGATACTGGTGTGCTCCCAGTATGGACTGGGAGGGACTGGGAGGGGGCTGGGGGCTCCCAGTATGGACTGGGAAAGGGTTTGAGAGATTCCCAGTATGAACTGGGAATGGGTTGGATGCTCCCAGTATGGACTGGGAAGGGTTTGGAATATTCCCAGTATGAACTGGGAGGGAACTGGGGACTCCCAGTATGGATTGGGAAGGGGTTGGAGG